TTTGAGTTTTAGTAAAAAAACAAACAAACAAACAAAAAAACGTTAAATAATTGGAAAAAGAGGCTTGTTAGAAATATCTTTGGTAATTAAAATATCATGTGAATTTGCCTGGGATGACTGTGTCAAGTTTAACAGTAATGTTGATCATTTTACCACAAAGACATTTGCACCAGAATGTTTATTGTGGCTTAGTTCATAATTGCCAAGTCATGAAAGCAACCTAGGAGCCCATCAACCCATGAATGATTAACAAACTGTGGTATATGTATACTATGAATACTATTCAGCCATTAAAAAGATGGAGACTTTACATCTTTTATATTTACCTGGATAGAGTTGAAATACATTTTTCTTAGTAAAGTATCACAACAGTGGAAAAATAAAATAGTGTACTCCATGCTAACATGAAATCAATATATAAACAATTACATGCACATAAGAACAATAAAACACTAATATAGTCTAGTTCAGGGGTAGAGGGAAGCGGGAGGGGGGAGGATGATTGGCAGGAGGGAGAGCATGAGGTGGGATCTCAGCCAATGTGCACATCTCTGAGGGTATATAACATGCCCTCTGGGTGAGGGTCTCTTCTACAAATGGAACTTTACCCTGGAAATGAGAACAATGTAACCTAAAAATTGTACCCACATATTAATTTGAAAAAAAACAACCCCCCCCCCAAAAAAACCAATAATGTTGCTTGCATTTTAGGGACACCAAAGTTCTTATCTAGGAATTTCTGTCATTGTTGGTTATTGCTTTATAAACATGCATTATATGTTTGCTGAAACAAGGAGCAAACAGTAATAATGGCCTAGGTTCTCCCAAAATACTATACAAGAAGAGAAATTATATTTTTTTTTTCCTTAGCAGAAAAAAGTGGGCTAAACTAGCTCCAGAGAACCTGTGAGTTCTTTGCTAATGGCTCTTTGTTTTAGGCGTTTGATGAAGCGATTGCTGAGTTGGATACACTGAATGAAGAGTCTTATAAAGATAGCACCCTGATCATGCAGTTGCTTAGGGACAATCTCACGGTAAGTGCCACTTCTAGCGAGTTTATAGTCTTCTTCTTACACACTTAATAATTAACTATTATCCAGAATTCAAGAGGGGAGTTTTTTATCCTGTTAAGTATATTTAATGTTTTAAATTGGTCGAAATGACTGCTAAAGTTTTAACTTTTGCAGTCATCACTGTCTTTAGAAGTACAGGAAGAATTTTGAACAATTGAGTGAGAGAAGATTATGCATATACAGACTAGCTGCCTCCCTGGGTAACTTTTAGTGACACAATTTGGATTATAACTTTCTTTTTTCTTTCTTTTATAGCTGTGGACATCGGAAAACCAGGGAGATGAAGGAGATGCTGGGGAGGGAGAGAACTAATGTCTATTGTGCTTCGTGATCTGTTCAGTGTCACTCTGTACCCTCCACATATATCCCTTTGTGCGATAAAAAAAAAAAAGAAAATCGTACGTCGACTTCCGATTTTTCACAGCCTCAGCCTAGCAAAAGTGGTTCATGGGATAAACAGCTGGTATTTGTATCTAAAACTCAGATTGGTCATATAAATGCCACGGCATTCTGAAGTTTTGCTTTTGATTAACATTGACAGGATTATTGTGTTTAATTTTTTTTAAACTGAACACTGTGATTATGGGGTTTTGTAACTTAACAGAACTCTTACTGGTAGAAAAAAATACACCTGAATTATGTGTAGCATTTTGGAAAGTTTAATCTGATATCAAAATAATCACTGAAATACAATTCCATTGTAAAGTTGTATAGAAAGTTATAGAGCTTATATTGTGAGGCTGGGACTTGGAGTGAGACACTATCATTTGGCCTAGGAGTTTAATGGTAACTCACAGTAATTCTATCTGGGGCATATAGACACTTCACTGATTTGGGCCACTCTGAAGTTCATGCCCACAAATGTCCAGTGTCTTCCTCTGAGGAAGCTCAGAGCCTGAAATTGAAATTCTTTGTGGCAGATAACTGGCATATGACACCTTGAAAAATTCCAGTGCTCATATAACACACCTGATTGAACCCCCTTTCCTACAGCAATATGTTACCAATTTGCAACTTGTACTTCAATAGTGAAATCTGTTTTCTTTGTTACCACTGAGCTAAAGAAAAAAAAGCCGTGTATTTTATGAATGGCCTTATCTGTTTCCTGGATAATACTTTAAGAATCATGTTCTGAGTTGGTGCAGTGGCAGGCGCCTGTAGTCCCAGCTGCTTGAGAGGCTGAGGCAGGAGGAGCACTTGAGCCCAGGAGTTAAAACTGTAGTATGCAATGATTGCACTTGTGAATAGCCACTGCACACCAGCCTGGGAAATACAGTGAGAGATCTCTAAAACTAAAAAAGAATGATGTGTAGAAATTGCCTTTCACTTGAGGAGTACTTAGACTTTGGGTTCTTCCTAGCTGGGGGCTTTTAAATTTTGAAATCTAAGCATTCTCTCCCATTGTCCTATTAGACTGTTAACTTTGGTTTTATCTTCTCCTTTTAAAATTTCTGTTCTTCTGTTTCATTACCTTCTTTTTTAATTCTATTTTTATCTGTCTTTTGTTCACTTTTTTATACTGTATATGGGCAGGGGTTAGAGACGTTGGTGAGCAAGCCTTGCATTAAACTTGAGAAGAGCTTCCGGTACCATAGCTCTGTCTTCCTCCAGTTCTCAACACAGTTGTTGCTCCCCAATCATACCAAGATCTGAATCAAAAAAGTATTTTTAAATAGTCATGATTTCTCTCTTTATTGCAGCCATCCCTGACCTTGATAATGCTTGTTAGTACCTCTCACCGGATCTCCCAAGTATACTCATCCAGCTCAGTTCTCAGATGTGTTTAAACAAAACCCTGTAATGCAGGGAAGTTGCGTGGACACTGCAATGGAGAGAATCAAGAATAGACAGGCCTATCGGTCTCACAGTATCACCCTTCTACCTTTCACATTCTACATAGCTGTAGAGTCCATCTGTTTGTCCATCTGCCGAAATGAGACAAGAAAAATTCATGCACTGATTTAAAACAAACCAAAAAAAGAAAAAAAAAAATCCCTCTCTCCTTTCTAGCTGAACAAAAATGTGCAGTTAATACTTGGCGCTTGAAAATGCAGTAGTGAATGTGGAACCAAGCCTGTCTGTATATCTGGTAGCTCTTTCTTGCTTTGTTTTTCCTTACCAGTATTCTGCCTAACGTTTGCTTCTGTGATGGTTATATTGCCTAGCAAGCACACCCGTGGTTGTGAAAATAGTATAGCAAAAAAGAAAATCCCCCGGTTATTGATGTACTAGATTTGTGTATGTCTTTTAAACAGTTCTAGTTTCACCTTACACGGAATAATCAGGAGAAGTGTAAAAATTCAAAAGTGAAATAAAAAATTTTATCAGGTAGTTGCCTGTGAATTGATGTGTCACCACCATCTCTCACTATCCTGATCACACTTATTCTTGGCTCTCTTTTTAACAATGGGCAAACAATTTTATTTCATCCTTTAGAATGAATGAATGAATGATTACCATTAATGGCCTCCTCCCATCCATCACTTGATCCCTCGCCACCTTCCTCAACAAACCAGGCAGATGTTAGGTTCTTCTTTTTTGTGCTTTTTAATATTTGGTGTGGGTGGTGTCCATAGCTCAGTCCTTAGGGCCCTGGCCACTTGCACCAGGGGTGGTGGGTTCCAACCCAGACCTGGCCTGCTGAAAACAACAACAAAAATAAGCCAGGCATTGTGGCAAGTGCCACGGCAATCTACCAAGGGTGACGAAGTGAGACTCAGTCTCAAAAAAAAAAAAAAAAAAAAGATTTGGTGTGGAAAATTGTTACGTACTGTATTCAAGCCTCTCGTTTTTTAACCCCAAGGTACAACCCAGCCAGTGATACAATCATAAGGCTTGATTATTGCCCTTACACTTTATGATCGCCTACAACACCGTTTCCTTCGGGGACTTTATCCTTTCTGAAAACTTTCACACTACCATAAGGAGAGAGAAGAAATTAGGGTCTTTTTGAGCCCCAAATTTTAATTTGTTGGTGCTTCCTTGCTATTATGAGGCAGGACATTCAGACCAGCTCCTGCCTCTGGTTTGGGAGCTGTTCACCTGTCAAAGCCACACTCAACCAGTGCTAGTAGCCAGTTTGCTTGGTGCATCATGGAAACCAGGAGAGTACCTGTGGGAGGCAGAGTGGAGTGTTTACCCACAACAGATTAGCTTTGCTTTGCTTTTTTTTTTTTAATGGCACAGATAGTTTGAAGCTGCAAGCTCAAATCGACTATCTTATTGATCAGCTTAGTGTCGCCTCAGCCTTGCTTTGCTGTAAGGTTCCTATGTTCCCACATAGGCAGGGCCACAAGTAACTGGTCCCTTCTGGTGTAATGCAGGTGGAATGGCTTGATCAACAGAAAGAGGTCTTGACAATTTAAGAACCAGTATCAGGAAAGACCTCAGTGATAGAATTCTCATGGAGTCTTCAGGTCCAAGTATATCGACATTTCCATCTTTGTGCAGAAGAGTTGGACTGGATCAGGCTCTTTAGGGGGGAAAAAAAAGCTTTAAAACAGGGTGTCCGGTTTGGAATTATTCCACTTGCATGTGAAATGCATAAAAAGCATGGTCTCCTTTAATCCTTGCCGAAAGGGATTCGTTACCATTTTACAGAGAGGTGAAGGGGTCCAGAAAGGCAATGATTGTTCTGGAATTAGAACCCAAACTGCCTGGGGTCCTAGTCCGCAACTGCTGGGAGTTAGCTCCACCCACGTATCCCGCAGCCCTACCCTAGGCCAAAGCGAGGGCTTTCTCCGCCTATCGGGGCGGGCTCACAGATGTCCCCACCTGCGGCTTCTAGATCACTTTGGGCTCAGGTGGGGTGAGAGCTCTGGAAGGGTCCCGGGGCGGGGCTCCCAGGGCGTTAAAGGGAAGGGGCGGGCCGGCGCGGGGGAGGGAGAGGCCGGGAGCTCCCCAGTGCACTCGTGGCTTCCGAGTCCCCCGCCTGGGTGAGCAGCGGCTGCTTGGTGACCTGGCTCGCGGTCCCCCCAACCTGCCCGCAGTCCTGGCCCCCTGCGCACCATGAATGCCAGCAGCTCAGGTTACCCGCTCGCCTCTCTCTACGTGGGCGATCTGCACGCCGACGTGACTGAGGCCTTGCTCTATGAGAAGTTCTCGCCTGTCGGCCCCATCCTGTCCATCCGCGTGTGCCGCGACGTGGCCACCCGGCGCTCGCTGGGCTATGCCTACATCAACTTCCAGCAGCCAGCAGACGGTGAGCCCCGGGAGCGGGAGCGGGAAGGGACCAACGATGGACAGACGGACAGCCAGGAGACAGACAGCTTCCGGGACTGGGGTGCCCGCGCTTGTCACCTAACATTTTGTAGCTAGGGAAATTGAAGCCCAAAGACACAGGGGCCTGGTCTCTGAGATGGGAATTGGCAAGTTCTATGTAGCTTACTGGTACTGCTCCACTTTACAGAGGAGAGAGGTTTAAGGCCGAGTGAAAACAGCTAAAGGCTTTAGGGTCAGGCAGACCCTGGGATAGAAACCCAGCAGCTGTGTTGAGGATAGGAGATTCAAAGCACCTGGTGAGGAAGAGGCCTAAGTCGAAGCTGGTGAGTGGGGAAGCCACTAGAGCAGGGCCCTGGGCCCTGTTTGGGCTTTCTAGGCAGTGTGACGTGAGATCTACCTTCCCTGGCCCTGAAAAGTGGCCTTCCCCAGGTTTTAAGGCTGGTTTCTCAGTGCTGAGAAAGGATTGATTAGAGCTTATTAGATGAGTGTGTCTGCACTTCTGTTGAGAGTGGAGAGGCTAAGGTTAGACAGCAGGTTTTTACAGAGCTCTGTCACGAGAATGTGAGCTTGGTCACCTCTTCATCTGTGAAATGGGGCTAAGGCTTGGTCCCCAATAGCATAAAGAATGGAGACCTATGGCCAGGCGTGCACTCTGGGAGGCAAAGATGGGTAGAATGCTTGAGCTCACAGATGTGAGACCAGCCGGAGCCAGAGCGAGACCCTGTCTCTAGAAATAACCAGGTGTTGGCTCGGCGCCTATGGCTCAACCGGCTAAGGCGCCAGCCACGTACACCTAAGGTGGCGGGTTCAAATCCCCAGCCCGGACCCACCAAACAACAATGACAGCTGCAACCAAAAAATAGCCGGGCGTTGTGGAGGGCGCCTGTGGTCCCAGCTACTTGGGAGGTGGAGGCAGGAGACTTGCTTGAGCCCAGGAGTTGGAGGTTGCTGTGAGCTGTAATGCCACGGCACTCTACCCAGGGGGATAGCTTGAGGCTCTGTCTCAAAAAAAAAAAAAGAAAAAAAGAAATAACCAGGTGTTGTGGTAGGCGCCTGTAGTCCCACCTACTTGGGAGGCTGAGGCAAGAGAATTGCTTAAGTCCAAGAGTTTGAGATTGCTATGAGCTATGATGCCACAGCACTCTACCCAGGGTGACAAAGTGAGACTCTGTCTCAAAAACAAAGAATGGAGATCTGGTGTATCTCCTGTTCATTTGCTACATTGTAAGGGCCCTTAAGCGATAACCTAAGAAAAATCACAGTAGCTGTAAAGTTCTGGTGTAAGAAGACTCCAGAAAATTGGCCTGGCACAGTGGCTGACGCCTGTAATCCTAGCATTCTGAGAGGCTGAGGTGGAAGGACCTCTTAAGCTCAGGAGTTTGAGACTAGCCTGAGCAAGACTGAGACCCTATCTCTACTAAAAATTGGAAAATTAGCTGGGTGTTGTTATGGGTACCTGGAGTCTCAGCTACTGAGGAGGCTGAAGCAGGATTGCTTGAATCCAGAAGTTTAAAGTTGCTATAAGCTCGGCTGTCCCCGTGGCACTCTAGCCTGGACAACAGAGTGAGACCTTGTCTCAAAAAATAAGACTCCAGAAATTTAACCAAAAAATGCTTGCCACAGCCAGGTCCAAAAGAGGGCGCCCTTACTCCAAGTCTTCTGGATGGATGGGGAAATTCCCTGGGTTGGGGGCTTGCTGGGGGACAGTTGTTCTGCAGACCCCTTTGCCCTCAGGTGGCTGAGCTGCATTCCAGCCTGACTTCCCCTTGCCCCACGTTCTGCCTTTCTTCTCATCTTCCTCCAAGCCCTGTGAATGAAGCAGGACCTGACCTTTTTGCCCACTTCACAGATGGGAAAACCAAGCTGCAGAGAGAAGGGATTTGCCCCTGTGTGTTTGTGATAGGACCAGATGGGGCCCCCAGGCTTCCTGAACTTGCTTCACTGTGTTCCCTACAGCCCCCATCCAGGACTTTGAAACTAGCAGAGTCTCTGAAGAAGGGGACACGTGTTACCTGGTAGGGAATAGGCTGCAGCAGTGGCAGGAGGAGGGGCATAGGCTGCTATTTTCAGACACTCTACTGTTTACCAAATACCTACTTTATGTCAGGCACAAAGTACAAAAAAGGCCCCTTGCATACCTTATTTAATTTTCAATCTATCTGACAACCTAGAGGGTAGGTGGTGTTATCTGCCTTTGTTAGGTGTGGAAAAATAGGTAATATTATCATCATTCCCACTTTATAGGGGAGGAACAGGCTCAGGGAGGGGATGTTCACTTCCCCCAAAGGCAGATGACCTGGGATCGAATCTCAACTCTGCTCTTCACGTCTGAGCTTTAATTTTCTCAGACTGCTGCTATCCCTGGTTATGTGGACATTCTTATTTACTCAGTGTGCTTTAGAGGCCAGAATAGACCTGACTCTGCCACTGACCATTCACCATTTAAAGCCTTAATTTTCCCACCTGTAAAATGGGAATAGGAATCTATGGCTGCAGTGAGGAGCTGAATAAGATCTCAGCTTATCCCTCCTGAGCCTTCAGGCTCTTGTCTCAGGTGGGACTCAATAACATTTTTTTTTTCTTTGACTCCCTATTAAGCACCTTATGGGAGAGTCTGGTGAGAAAATCCCCGTAACTTGCTCCTTTCTCTCCTTCCCCTGTCCAGCGGAGCGGGCACTGGACACGATGAACTTTGAGATGATCAAAGGCCAGCCCATCCGCATCATGTGGTCCCAGCGAGACCCAGGACTTCGCAAGTCAGGTGTGGGCAACATCTTCATCAAGAACCTAGAGGCCTCCATTGACAACAAGGCTTTATATGACACCTTCTCCACCTTTGGGAACATCCTCTCTTGCAAGGTGGGTGTGCCTCTTTGTGGGGGAGGGGAATCAGTGTCAACAGCCCGTATTTTAGAGGGATGTCGTAGCAATCAATGGACCATATCTTGTTTCTAAGATTTCTCTTATACTAGAGTGTAAGTCCCATGAGAGTAGTGGTTCTGTTTTTAGTCGCTGTTGTATCCCAATATCTAGAATAAAAAGTGACACTTATTAGATACTTACTAAATATGAACAAACAAATGTATTATCATTTAAGAAGGGCTCTGGTTATTTCTGACTTTGTATATGAGGATGTTGTGGATATGAGGTGATACCATAGGTCAGTATGCCCTGAACAGAGGGCATAAACTTGGTGTTCCGTCTCTAGATTTAATTAATTAAAGACAGAGTCTCACTGAGTCACCTTTCGTTGAGTGTCATAGCTCATAACAACCTCAAACTCTTGGGCTCAAGTGATCCTCTTGCCTTAGCCTCCAAAGTAGCTGGGACTACAGGCACCCATCACAATGCCCGGCTATTGTTAGAGACAGGGTCTGTCTTCTTGCTCAAGCTGGTCTCAAACTCCCTAGCTCAGGTGATCCACCTGCTTCTGCCTCTAGATTTTATAAGGATGATTGATCAGTTACTCTGTATCCTTTGGAATATTTGCCCTTCTCGAGAGCATAGGACGACTCTGGGTGACCACTGAGTTCGAACTTTCATTGAGAGCTATTTATTTGTATGCCAGGCATGATCCTTAAGTTCTCAAATAAGACTCCCAACCTCCCCATGAATAAGGGGTTATCTCCTGTGGCTCAGAGGGGTAGTCAGACTCAAGGAGGTACACTAATGTGCTAATAATTCTCTGTGGTAAAGAGATAGGGCTGTTTCCTGTCTTTTGAGGATCAATGGAAGAAAGATGCTTAACTGTGTGGTAAATTCTGACGAAAGTAATGGCAGGGCGGTGCCTGTGGCTCAAGGAGTGGGGCACTGGCCCCATATACTGGAGGTTGTGAGTTCATGTCCAGCCCCGGCCAAAAAACTGCAAAAAAAAAAAAGTAATGGCAGATTGCTCAAGGGCTTTCTACGTGTTAGTATTTTTGCATATGTAGTATAGGCTTAGTTCTTAGAAGGTACCTGGCACACTTAAGCATCTAACTGGAAATTTAAAAATTCCTTCTGCTGGCTGACCTTGGACAAGTCACTTATTTACATTTCCCCTGGGACTCAGAGGTTAAGAATTGCCTGGAAGAGTGCTTATGGCAAATATAACAAGGTAAGTATGTGATGCCTTTAGCAGTTGCTTGACTCAACAAGATCAAATCTGAATGGAAGAGCTAGGGCTTGAGTTGACAGTGGAAGGACCCTGTCTGGGGCTGGAGAGGAGCAAGGTGCATGCAAGGCATGGATTGGCGAGCTGTGCTTGTTGTGCGGGGCCTGTTGGAGAGCCTCCAATGCCAAGTTAATATAGTTCTGTGGGTAGAAGCTACTAGAGATTAAAAGGACACAGTCAGAATTACATTTACAAAGACCATCCCAGTGGTCAGTGCAGGGAGACAGTGGTGGTCATCTAGCCAAAAAATGCCACTTAGCTGAGCTGTGGCAGTGGCTATAGGGATGAGCGGGGCAACGGTCCCCTTAAAACAGGGGTCATTGATCTTTCCACATGTCCAACAAGAGGCATGGGAACTATGTGAACCAGAATTCTTCTGTTGTACTTCAATTCTGTCCTTCTGACTCGTATTGGGAAGGTTACAGAAGGGGAATAAGATGTTTGTGCATCTTTTAAAGAAATGAAATGAGTCTGTTGAAATAATACACGAATTGGTAAAGTTTAAACAATGTGGAAGGTAAGAAAGTGAAAAAGAAGGCTCTATCTCTTCCAGCCCTGGTCCCCAGAAATAATCATTATTAATAGTTTTATGTCTTTTTCGAAACTTTCTATATGTAGATGCCCACTTGAACCCGTATGGACTCCCCCCCCACCCCACTTAACAGATAACTGTCAATCAAGTGATATACCACCTTCTCTTCAACTGCAGCATGAATGTATTGTAATTTAACTGGTTTCTCCCTGGTGGACCCTTACATTGTTTCCAGTTTGCTGTTAGAAACAAGGACGCAGGGCTGGGTGAGGTGGCTCATGCCTGTAATCCCAGCACTCTGGGAAGCCAAGGTGGGTGGATGGCTTGAGCTCAGGAGTTCGAGACCAGCCTGAGCAAGAGTGAGACCTAAAACTAGCCAAGTATGGTGGGCACCTGTAGTCCCAGCTACTTGGGAGGCTAAGGCAAGAGGATTGCTGGAGCCTAAGAGTCTGAGGTTGCTGTGAGCTGAGACACTATGGCACTCTACTGAGGGTGACAAAATGAGACTTTGTCTCAAAAAAAAAAAAAAGAAAAGAAAAGAAAAAGAAGCAAGGATACAAGTGTAGGGGTTTGGTCTTATCCTTTTGCCCATCACCTTAAGAAGACAATTAAAAGCTGATCTATGGCTTAGATGACACCTGTGTTCATTTGGAGGGCGTTCGTCCTCCCTTAATCTGTTATCTTAGGCAAGTGGATGGCTCTCTCTGAGATTTAGCTCGTCTCTAACTGGGAGCTATAGTGTGATGTAGGATTGTCTTTTCCATACATGTGGCAGGCATGAAAGTCATTATCACCTTTGCCATTCTCCTCTACCTCAGCCCTCTGTCCATGCTCTCCCTCTCTTTCTTTCCTGTGGCCCAGGTGGCATGTGACGAGCATGGCTCCCGGGGCTTCGGCTTTGTCCATTTTGAGACCCATGAAGCCGCACAGCACGCCATCAACACCATGAATGGGATGCTGCTGAATGACCACAAAGTGTGAGTTCCCTGGGCCTGGGGGCTGAGGCTGTGGGGACAGAAGCATCACACCACCAGTCAGGAACCAGTGCAACCCTTTACTGGCTAATGGTCACACCAGGCACTGAGCAGCAGGCAGTCTTCCTCCAAGCCTAATCTCAGACAAGTGGCTCTGTTTCTCAGGGACTGTCTTCCTGCACGTAAGAGTGGAGCTGACGGTACATGTAGAGGGTTGTTCTGAGTGGTAAAGAGAGTGGTGATTTTGAAATTCTGGAGGGAAGAGCTGATGGCCTTGTCATTAATGAACTCAGTGATTTCATCTGTTTTCTGGCCTTCTCAGCATGGCTGTGAATTTTCTTTCTTAAATGACTTGCATTGTTTCATGGGATTTAGGGGGTGGAAGAAAAAGAGGTATATGCTTAGCCTACCCTCTTCCTACAGTTAAGTTTCATAGCACCCCCACTTCACAGATGGGAAAATTGAGATAGGGATGCCAGAAAAAATCTGCTGCCAGCTGTTCTCCTCCCCAACTTTGATTCTGCCCATTTTATGGCCCAACTCCATGGTCAGGGGAATGAAGGTGGCTTTGAGCTGGGAGATGCTCTAAGCTTCATTTTTATCCAGGGTTTCTCAAGGTGGGGTCCTGTCAACCTGACCAACTAATCTGGTGGGCTCTCCCAGTTCTCAGAAGGGTGCTGGCTGTGGCTGTAATTTATTTAAGTTTACTTTCACTCAATTTTCTTTAATTTTTGGTGCCTGCTACAATTTGTTTGTGCCAAATCTGCTAGGGATATCACCAGAATTTCTTTCTTTCTTTTTTTTTTTTTTGAGACAGAGCTTCAAGCTTTCCCCCTGGGTAGAGTGCCATGGCATCACAGCTCACAGCAACCTCCAACTCCTGGGCTTAAGCGAGTCTCCTGCCTCCGCCTCCCAAGTAGCTGGGACCACAGGCGCCCACCACAACACCTGGCTATTTTTTGGTTGCAGCCGTCATTGTTGTTTGGCGGGCCCAGGTTGGATTCGAACCCACCACCTTAGGTGTATATGGCTGGCGCCTTAGCCACTTGAGCCACAGGTGCCAAGCCCAGAATTTCTTATGCTTGTTTTTTGTTTTTCTAATCTAGGATACTTTCCTAGATATGTTTATCTGAACTTGGAAATTACAGCTTTTATAATTGACATTCTGTTTAAATGGGTCCATCCCATCCCCATCCATTGACCATGTCTTATTTGCTTACCCCTGATTCTCTAGTGCACCCAGTATGTGTTAACTAAATGAGCGAAGCCCTGTGACATGAATTTCATTCCCAGTTTTACAGGAATGAACACTGAGGCTCAGAGAGGTTAAGTAACTTCCCCAAGGTCACACAGCTACACAGCTGCAGAGGAAGGATCTAAGCCCTTATCCATCTAACTGCCAAGTTCTTGTTGTTATCTCCTGTACTGTCCTCTGCCTGGTATATACTAGTAGTTCTGTGTGCATTTGTCACAAGAATGACATCTTAACCTCATGCTGGGGACAAGTTCTAAGACAGAGCGTGTTGGCTGTTGGATGTAGTTGGGCCTTAGGTATTTCCTAAGGAGGATTGCCTGCTTAGTCTCCTGAGGGATGTGGAGGCCCGGAGAGGGCAGCAGTTGGGCTGGGACTGGGATTAGGGGTAGCCGATGGCTGCAGCTGCCTACCCTGTTGTGTGTCCACAGTTTTGTTGGCCACTTCAAGTCCCGTAGGGAGCGAGAGGTGGAGCTGGGAGCACGCGCCATGGAGTTCACCAACATCTATGTGAAGAACCTCCAGGCGGATGTGGATGAGCAAGGCCTCCAGGAGCTCTTCTCCCAGTTCGGTGGGCGTGTTCCCAAGGGAGGAGGGAGGTCACTATTTCTCTTTCTCCATCCAGGTCCGGCAGGGAGGAAGGACCCTCCTGGGGCTTCCTGAGGACTTGGGGTAAGGGAGGGAACATCTTGGGACTTCCCAAACTCCCCTTTGAGCCAGGTTGGTCCTTCCCAGGAAAGATGCTGAGTGTGAAGGTGATGAGGGACAGCAGTGGCCACTCCCGGGGCTTTGGCTTTGTCAACTTTGAGACGCATGAAGAAGCCCAGAAGGTAGGAGCCTCCCCAGAGCTCTGTTCTGGGGAGGGGGCACCGAGCCAGGGTCAGGAAGGGGAGAGATCAGTGCAGGTTCCAGCTGTCCCTTCCTGCCTATGATGCAAAGGCCAAAGGCTCCATCCTTCTTTGGTTTCTTCTAAGGCCTGAGGTGCACAGAAACAAATACTTAGGTAGGGAAGGAAAAGCCTTCAATTTATGTAAAGATATTTGCTACTGAAGTGGCCACTTGAAAAACCAGTTCTCCTTCAAACATTTCTCCCTAATCCTAACCATTGAGTCAGTATATACTTGGGCCTGACTTTTGATGACTTTTGTGGATAAGTCAATGAAAATTCAGTTCAGTATAAATTGATTGCAAAGAAAAGTTGTATATCTTGCAGAAGAAGCAGGATTTTCTGCAGTTGAGCTCACTATTGAGCAGGCTTAGGCCAGTTAAGTGAAGAAAAGAAAAATCAGCCAGGCACGGTGGCTCACGCATGTAAACCTAGCACTCTGGGAGGCCAAGGCCTATTGATTGCTTGTGCTCAGGAGTTCATGACTAGCCTGAGCAAAGTGCGACCCTGTCTTTATTAAAAATAGAAAAACTAGCTGGGCATTATGGCAGGTGCCTGTAATCCCAGGTACTTGGAGGCTGAGGCAAGAGGATCACTTGACATCATACCACTCTATCTAATTAATACTCAGGTGACAGAGTGAGACTGTATTTTTTAAAAAAAAAGAAAAATCAACATGGGTTACGACACAGATGTTTCTTAAAAAATAAAGCCCTTACCAATGACATGTATCCACTATTTTTATTTATTTATTTTTGAGACACGTTCTGCTCTGTAGTCCAGGCTAGAGTGCGGTGGTGACAATATAGCTTCACTGTAACCTAGTACTCCTAGGTCCTGCCTCAGCCTGCCAAGTAGCTGGGACCATAGGCATGTACCACCACAACTGGCTGATGTCTTTTTTCTGGTTGCCTCCCAAAGTACTAGGATTACAGGCATGTGCTACCACATCCAGCTTGTATCCACTATTTTCTTATCAGAGAGTATTTTCACTTTAAAAATCTTCTGTGCTCTGCCTAGTCATCCCTCTCTGCTCGTTAGTCTCTGGCAACCTCTGAATTTTTTACTGGCTCTGTATGAGTTTTGCCTTTTCTAGAGTGTCATTTGCTTAGAGTCAGAGTATGTAGCCTTTTCAGCTTATATATATATATATATATATATATATATAAATTTGAGACAGACTCTCACTTTGTCACCCCAGTAGAGTGCTGTGGCATCATAGTTCACAGCAACCTCAAACTCTTGGGCCCAAGTGATTCTCTTGTCTCAGCCTCCCAAGTATCTGGAACTACAGGAGCCCATGACTGGCTATTTTTAGAGACAGGGTCTTGCTCTTGCTCAGGCTGGTCTTGACTCCTAAGCTCAAGCAATCCACCTGCCTAGGCCATCCAGAGTGCTAGAATTATATGTGTGAGCGACTGTACCTGGCTAATAGGTGCCATTATCCTGGTACTAATTATTCTCAGCTAGCACATATGGCCTGGTTTTTAGGTGGCCCCTTTAGATTAGGGCCTGGGCCAGCCTGGGTGGTTACCAGGCAGCTCTCCCTCGTTCTCCTAGGCTGTGGTCCACATGAATGGGAAGGAGGTGAGCGGGCGGCTGCTCTATGTGGGCAGGGCCCAGAAGCGGGTAGAGCGGCAGAATGAGCTGAAGCGAAGGTTCGAGCAGATGAAGCAGGACCGGATGAACCGTTACCAGGTGAGGTCAGGTCTCCGGTGGCAGCCACTGCTGTGTGAGAGTCCCCTAAGGTGACTTCATCTTCTGGTGACCCTACTTCTGGGCACATGGCTCAGAGCAGGCAGCAGATGAGCAGCCCAAATCCTAACAGTGGGGAAACTGGACACAACCCACTGCCCAGCCTTTGGGGGTTGGTTGGGGTGCTGTTAACTTCTTGGTGGGAATATTCCTTTATGTGGGATCCGTTAGCATCCTGACCCCTGCCCACTCAGTACCAGCCTCATTCTCTAGTCACAGACAACCGAAGTGCCCTATGTTGGCAAATGCCCCAGAGGAAATCCTGGTTGAGGCTAATGAGGCCAAATATACCACATCCAAAAGTTAAAATGTCATGCAGCCATTAATTAATGCAGTTAACTAAAATGTGTATCATAGATCAATATACTCTAAACTTCTCTGGGAAATGAACACATCTCAAACTTTTAATAAAAGTTCCAGATCACTCATGAGAGGAGAATACATCTCTAACACACACAAGCATCCATGCTCAGTAGTTCTCGGTGAGGAACAAGTTTGTCCCCACGGGGACATTTAACAATATCCAATATCTATAATTTTCAGTTATATTTGGGTGACAGGGTACCACTGGCATCTACTGGGTTGAGGCAGGGATGTGGCAGATATCCTACAGTGCACAGGACAGTTTCATAACAAAGGACTATATGGCACAGAATGTCACTAGTGTGGAGGTTGAGAAACAGTTGTGTGTACACCAACACTCCCTTGTTGGACCTGTCGGACCTGTCAGGGGTTTGTAGACTTAGAGACAAAACACTCATGATGTAATCTAATCTGTGAGAGCCGGCTAGTGCATTGTACAACTGTGTGGTCTCCATTCTTTTGTGCATTCAGACACTTTTGTGCTTGGGAGGTCTGGAAGGAGAAAATCAAGGCACTAGAGACAGCTGTCATTCACGGGTGAGGAGCACAGACTCTGCACGTAGACTGCCTGGGTTAGCCCTGTTCCTGCCACTTAGGGGCAATTTATTTAACCTGTTTGCTTGTTTTCGTTTTGCCATCTGTAAAGTGGGGATAAAAGTTTCCTCCTTGTGAGGTGGTTATGAGCATTAAAATCTAAAATGTGCAATGGTGAACTAAAAACTAAAATGAGCCAGGTGCAGTGGCTCACGCCTGTAATCCTAACACTCTGGGAGACCAAGGCAGGTGGATTGCCTGAGCTCAGAAGTGACCAGCCTGAGCAAGAGTGAGACCTTGTCTCTACTAAAAATAGAAAAATTAGTCAAGTGTGGTGGCGGGCACCTATAGTCCCAGCTACTCGGGAGGCTGAGGCAAGAGAATTGCTTGAGCCTCAGAGTTGGAGGTTGCTGTGAGCTATGACACCACAGCACTCTACCCAGGGCAACAGAGTGAGACTCTGTCTCAACAAATAAATAAATGAATACATGAATAAATAAATGTGTGAGGAGCTTAGAGTTGGGCCTGGCAGCAGTGTAAGTGCTGGGCCCAAGGACCCTGAGCTGGCAGGCAGCAGAGGGCAGCTCACAGATACTGCATACTGAGGGTCTGGCCTGGGTCCAGCCTGGAGCAGCTCTGCCCACTGTTGCTCCATGTTGGCCATCCGGAAAGCCATGCTGGGGCTAGCCCTGTGCCTTGTCTGCTGCAGGTGCCTCCTATGAAGGGGGAGAGGTTGTGGTGAGTCTGGGGCCGGCGAAAATTTATGACAACTGCTGAGGGAGTTAGGGGTTGCGGGGGTTGCAGCTTCCTGGTGATGGGCATGCAAGTGATTGGGGCACCTGGGTGGGCAATGGAGAGCAGGGGGCCTGTGTCGGTCCCCTGGGCTATCTGGGGCTTGGAGGGGAAGAGGCACTTCTAGCAGTATCCTGTCCTTCTAGGGTGTGAACCTGTATGTGAAGAACCTGGATGACTCCATCGATGATGAGAAACTGAGGAAAGAGTTCTCTCCCTATGGAATGATTACTAGTGCGAAGGTGAGGACTGGGGATGTCTGTGGGGACAACCTTCCCCTCCAGCCTCTCATCAGTTTCTCCCATTCTGTCCCCACCCTCCTCTTACCCCGAGGCTTCCTGGGAGTTTGTGCTGAGCTACCTCTTTGAGGCCTCTGTCTGTCTGACCCTGTTGGAGCTGGTAGTCTTGTCTGGGCTGGAGGGGAAAAGGCTAGAAATACGGTTCCAGTCACACAGCTGGACTTGGGATTCACTGTAACCTTGGCTCAGGCTACAAGCATTTATTGAGTGCCTAGTGTATGCCAGATTCCAGAAATCCATGTCTCCATTGACTATGGTTATCTGCCCCTCACTAGTGGATATAGCTAACCCCTTCTGGGCTTCACATCTCCCATCTGAAAAATGAGAGGGTTGGGCTGCATCACTCTTAATATTTCTCTATTTTTTTGAGCATCTACCATGCCCAATGCTGTTACACCTAAGATGTGACCACTGCCTCATCTACTGAGCAGTTCTGTGATCTTAAGCAGGTGTCTTAACTCCTGAGCCTCATCCTTATGACAGGGGCATTGGACTCCCTGGGTTGTCCTCAGCCCTGGATTCTCAGTAGACACCCCGGGACAGTTCTTAAGTACAGATGTCTGGGATGGGCATTGAAAGTACATTTCTGCAGATCTGGCTAGAACCTTTTACATTTATTTATTTTTAGAGACAGAGTCTCATTTTATTGCCCTCAGTAGAGTGCCATGGCGTCACAGCTTACAGCAACCTCCAACTCCTGGCTTTAGGTGATTCTCTTGCCTCAGCCTCCGGAGTACCTGGTATTACAGGCACCTGCTACAATGCCTGGCTATTTTTTTTGTAGCATTTGGCTGGGGTCAGGTTCAAACCTGACACCCTTGGTATATGGAGCTGGCGCCCTACCCACTGAGGTTCTGGTGCAGCCCAGAACCTTTTATTTTAAAAACTCTCCAGTAGGCTGGGCACAGTGGTTCACGCCTGTAATCCTAGCACTCTGGGAGGTCAGGGCAAGAGGACCCCTTGAGCTCAGGAGTTTGAGACCAGCCTGAGCAAGAGCCAGACTCTGTCTCTAAAAATAGCCAGGCCTTGTGGTGGGCACCTGTAGTCCCAGCTACTTGGGAAGCTGAGGCAAAAGGATCAATTGAGTCCAAGAGTTTGAGGTTGCTATGAGCTACGATGCTACAGCACTTTACCGAAGGTCACGAAGTAAGACACAGTCTCAGAGGAAAAAAAAAAAAAAGACTGGGTACAATGGCTCACATCTGTAATCCTAGCACTCTGGGAGGCCGAGGCAGGCAGATTGCCTAAGCTCATGAGTTGGAGAACAGCCTGAGCTAGAGCGAGACCCCCATCTCTAAAAATAGCCAGGCATTGTGGTGGGCAGCTGTAGTCCCAGCTATTGGGAGGCTGAGGCAAGAGAATCACTTGAGCCCAAGAGTCTGAGGTTGCTGTGAACTGTGATGCCATGACACTTTACCAAGGGTGACGAAGTGAGACTCTTGTCTCAAAAAACAAAACAAACGAAAAGAACTCTCCAGTTGATTTTGTGATGACTCAATGTTCATATTTAAGCTGTTGTAAAGCCTGCTGTTTTACCAAGCTCAGTGGGAAGCATATGGGAGCAAGTCGGATATGATTTCTGCCTTTGAGTAGCTTATTGTCTAGTGAAGAAGTCGGACGCATCACTACCTTTATATGTGTATTTTGTAAGTCAAGGCGGCAGAGCTATGGGCACTCAGTGGACCAGGAGGGCTTCCTGGGAGAAGTGGCAGTAACAGCAGTGTTTGACTTGACTGTGAGGAGGGAGGGAGATGTAGGGGGAATGGAGAACTTTCTAAAGAGATCAGTGTGGGCAGTGGGGCTGGGGACTCTTGCATATGACAAAATGACTGGGTTCTGAGAAAGTGGTTTAGAATGGAAGGGGTTCTAAAGTTTTTTTTGGGTTTAGGACCTTTTGAAAATGTGACAGAAAGGTGTGGGACCCATACATTAGGCATCAGTAAATTTGATTAAACACTAAAATACCTGTGGGCCTTCTCTCTCAGAAAATGCATATATATTTGGTATAGCAATGTGATTGACAGCTAGGATTTTCAAGTTTATCAGACCTAGATGTAAATCCCAGTCCCACTATTACCTAACACATATAACCCAAGGCAGGTGACTTTGCTTTTCAGACCCTGTTTATTGTAAAATGGGAGTGACGTTACTTACCTCTAAGATGTCCTGAGAACCTGAGAAATACTAAAGAGGCTGTTTAATAGGCCAAACAGGTTATAAAATGGAGATTTTATATAGTTTTCTATCTATATAATTTTTTTTTTTTTGAAACAAAGCCTCAAGCTGTCCCCCTGGGTAGAGTGCTGTAGCATCACAGCTCACAGCAACCTCCAACTCCTGGGCTCAAGCGAGTCTCCTGCCTCAGCCTCCCAAGTAGCTGGGATCACAGGCGCCTGCCACAACGCCCGGCTATTTTTTGGTTGCAGCCGTCATTGTTGTTTGGCAGGCCTGGGCTGGATTTGAACCCGCCACCCTAGGTGTATGTGGCTGGCGCCTTAGCCACTTGAGCCACAGGCGCCGAGCCTTTATCTATATAATTTTATATATCTTCTATTTTATATAAAATAGTGATTATGAAAATTAAATGGATTAATATATATAACACTTGCACCACTATCAAATGCATAGTAAGCTCTGCACAAGTGTTAACTTTACTAATTTTATCATTATTAACTACCTACTAACAATAGTTCTTAAACATGGTTTTGTGTCAGGACCCCTTTGGCTGTCTGTGAAGCCTATGAACCCCTTCTATGTATATTTTTAAGCACATAAAATAAAATTCATAGGATTACAAAAATAATTATGTTGAAATATAATCAAAATACTAAAATGATGTATAGTATGTACTTTTTTTTTTTTTTTTTTTTTTTTTGGAGACAGAGTACCATTAGGTTGCCCTTGGTAGAGTGCTGTGGTATTACAGCTCACAGCAACCTCTAACTCTTGGGCTTAAGTGATTCTTTTGCCTCGGCTTCCCAAGTAGCTGGGACTACAGGCGCCTACCACAACGCCTATAAAGAAGCTATAGTAAGTGTTTCTTTATGAATGTAACTGTTAAGATCTAGCAAAGTAGCAATTAGCATAAATGATATTTTGGAGATTAGTAATAATGTAATATGATATTTGATTTTTTTTTAGAAGATCACAGGCGTGGCTAATACTGCTATGATTTTGGGGGGGGAGCCATATTCATAGTGGAAGGAAATCCTAATTTGAAAATAAAGATGTCATTCCCATTGACCCCCTGAATTATATCCCTGAGGGGGGATTCATGGACTCTCAGATTAAGACCACTATTCTAATGGGTAGCAGGATATAGTCTAAAAATCACTGACTTAGAGTATGGGCTCAAATAGGGCAGGTTTTTAAAGATAGCTCTAGGCTCAGTGTTTATGGCTCAAGCGGCTAAGGCACCAGCCACGTACAGCTGAGCTGGCGGGTTCGCATCCAGCCCCGGCCAGCCAAACAACAATGACAGCTGCAACTAAAAAATAGCTGGGCGTTGTGGTGAGTGTCTGTAGTCCAGCTACTTGGGAGGTGGAGGCAGGAGAATGGTTTCAGCCCAGGAGTTGGAGGTTGCTGTGAGCTGTGATGCCACAGCACTCTACCCAGGGTGACAGCTTGAGGCTCTGTCTAAAAAATAAATAAATAAAATAAAAATAGCTCTAGTCTTTATGGAGTGTTGACCCAGGCCAGTGGCTTGACTCTAAAAAAGGTGCCCTGGGTCCTAGAAGAGAAAAAGTATATTAGTGGAAAAAAGTGAATTAGCATTGTAGTCATTAGGCACTAATAATAAAATAGTTAACAGTGTCGTACCAGTGTTAATATTGTAGTTTAGTTAAATGTACCATGTTAACATTAAGGGAAGTTGGCTGAAAAATATATAGCAGCTCTCTGTACTCTTTTTATAACTTTTATAAATCTAAAGTCATTCCAAAGTAAAAAGGTTATTTTAATAAAAACCTAAGAACCTCTTCTCCAGACACCCGAAGAACATGTACCTTGCAGATGCCATAGAGGTTTGTCAGAACAGTGTGTTGGGTTGAGTCCTGGCTGATGTATTGTTACCTGTATTTGTCCCCAAGGCCAAATCAGTGAGAATGAAGAAGAGGACAGGGGGTTTGAGGAAAAGGAAAGAGAAGTTCATTTAATTTGCTGCCAAGTGAGGAAGGCAATGGACTAACTTCTCAAGCCCACCATCCTATTGCCTCTGGCCTTCTGGCTAAGATCAAGTGTAGTATGGAAGACCACTACACTGTCTTGAAGTAGAAAAACACAGCTGTTTAAAAGGGGTACTTGGGCTTGGGTCTACTGGACAGTAACTGGTGTCATATGTTATGGCTTCAGGCTACTGCTATTTAACTATAATTGGTGGTTTTGTTGACCTTATCTCCAGTGATCTTGTGACCCTTGGACAATTCTGCTGAGCCCTCTTAAGATACTAGAAAACAAAACCAGGCATAGTGGCTCATGCTTGTAATTCTAGCACTCTGGGAGGCTGAGGCTTGGGGATCACTTGAGAACTCATTGCTTGAGCTCAGGAGTTGGAGACTAGCCTGAGCAAGAGTGAGACCCAGTCTCTAAAAATAGCCGAGCATTGTGGCAGGCCCCTGTAGTCCCAGCTACTTGGGAGGCTGAGGCTAGAGGATCTCTTGAGCCCAAGAGTTTGAGGCTACTGTGAGCTACAATGCCACGGCATTCTACTGAGGGTAACAAAGTGAGACTCTGTCTCAAATAAAAGAAGATACTAGAAAACAAACAGCAAAGAACATTTTCCTGCCCCTTTAATTACTGGCCTCAGGAAGGAATGCAGGGGTTTTTTTTGTTTTTTTTTTTTTTTTTTGCAGTTTTTGGCCCAAGCTGGGTTTGAACCCACCTCCTCCGGCATATGGGGCTGGTGCCTTACTCCTTTGAGCCACAGGTGCCTCCTAGGAATGCAGGTTTTAATTCCCAAAATAGGGGGAGAGTTTTAAAGAGACATTTCGTTGAACTTGTGCAGACTTTTACCTCTGTTACAATATGAGGCCCCTGGACAAATCACTTTCTCTCCCTTACTCACCTGTAAAGTGGGAGGCGCAGCATCTCTGGTGTCAGGAGGTTGTATATGTGCCACGTGAAGGCGCAGGAGGTATCTGGCATGCAGCAGGCCTCAGTAAGTGCCGGGTGGACGGTCCATCTCTTTGGCATAAGCCTCCCGTGGTCTTGCTTACTGCCGGGCAGGGGGCCAGAGGAGGAGGGAGGCCCAGCTTCCAGAGTCTTCTTCCTTCATGCCCAGCAGCTCTTGTCTTGTCTTGCTTTTAGGTGATGACAGAGGGTGGCCACAGCAAGGGATTTGGCTTTGTGTGTTTTTCCTCTCCAGAAGAGGCGACAAAGGCCGTGACAGAGATGAACGGGCGTATCGTGGGCACCAAGCCACTGTACGTGGCACTGGCCCAGCGCAAGGAGGAGCGGAAGGCCATCTTGACTAACCAGTACATGCAGCGCCTATCTACCATGCGGGCCCTGGGCAGTCCCTTTTTGGGATCCTTCCAGCAGCCCACCAGCTACTTCCTCCCCGCTGTGCCCCAGGTGACAGCCCACTCATAGCTCCCCCAACCCTCGCTCCCCAACAGCAGGTAGAGCAGGAAGGCTAAAGCTTCACAGGCAAACGGAGGCTCCCCACTCGCTTCTCCTGAAAACTTGCTAGGCAGGCCATTTCACCTGCTGAGGTCTTAACTTCAACATTTGCAAAAGAGGGTCACTATCAAACAGCATTTCCCCCATCTGAGAGAGTGATTCGTGACATTTGTGCTGAAAAAGATTTTTTTTTTTTTTTGAGACAAAGTCTCACTTTGCCCTCAGTAGAGTGTTGTGCTGTCACAGCTCACAGCAACCTCAAAAGCTCAGGCTCAAGGGATTCTCTTGCCTCAGTCTCCCAAGTAGCTGGGACTACAGGTGCCCTCCACAACACCCAGGTAGTTTTTGGTTGTAGTTATCATTGTTGTTTGGCAGGCCCAGGCCAGGTTCGGACCCATCAGCCCCGGTACATGTGGCGGGTGCCCTAACCACTGAGCTACAGGCACTGAGCCTGAAAAAGACTTTTGATGGTCAAATAAGTTTAGGAAATGCTGCAAGAAACCTTAATCTCTTTACTATATATATTATTCTACCCGAATGTGCCGATGTCTATTGTGACTCAACAGAAGAGGCCTGGAGTATATAGTATTTCCCCGACTTAGATGGTGGTTTTTTGTGGGATGCCTGTTAACAGCTGCCCTGGATGTTCCTGTTCTGAGGAGCGTGGTTGGGAAGGGAGCTCATGGGACTCAGAGGAAGGAGGAAGATGTATACCATGGAGGGCCACCAGGGTGGGAATTTTCTTCTCTTTTTAGCAGTTGCTTAAGTGGGCACAAATTGGAGTAAGATGTTCCTTTTTTTTATCCCAGGTGGCTCTGATAAAGAGTGAGGATTGAAATCTGAGATCTTGCCCTAAAGGACTCGAGGCTAATAGACTTCGGAGATAGGAGGAAGGAGCTTTCATTCCAACTTTGTGGGGTTTTTCTAACCAGTCCCTTGAAGGGGATCATGGTGAAGGGGACTCAGGGCAACAGTGTCCCTGAGGAGTTGTAGCTTCTCACCTCCCCTGCTGCAAAGCCCTTCATCTAGATCCTCTTCTCCCGTGCAGCCTCCAGGCCAGGCTGCGTACTATGGTTCCAGCTCCATGCCACCCCCCCAGCCGGCCCCCAGGTGGACGTCCCAGCCACCTAGATCTTCATGTGAGTGATCCATCCCCTTCTACCCTCACCTGCCCTGTGGGTGTGGGCCCTGTGAGGGAATGATAACATCAGGGATGGGCCTGACTCTGACACTTGCTGGGATGGTAACTTCACCTCCCAGACTCCGTTTCCCCTTCTGAATGAGATGTGTGTGAAGCACGAATCACGGCAGTGGGCCTAGGAAAGACCTGCCATGTAGCCAGTATCAGTATCTCCGAAGATGTCTCTGATTTGTGATACTGAAAAATCTTGGAAAGCTGAGAAAATGAAATTCTTCTGGCTATATTGTTGATGAATGACCTTTCTCTGTAAGAGTGAAGTTCACACTCGAAACTGTCTTGGGGGCTAAGGTGTATGTTTTATAGTGCTTATGCATCTTAAGGCTCCAGATAGACACACGTTGGCTTTGTCATTGTTGATTTCCATGCACCCCCTCCCTGGAGGTCTGGGTCGAGGTGAATTCACTCATCTTTCTGCTGTGAACTTCCTATTTCCCTTCCCCATGCTCTTGCTGGCCCTGGAAGCTTCAGGGAACAGTATGCTACTCTGATCATCCCCTACTTCTGCCTGCTCAACCTTTCTCTCTCCACGGTATCTGCATCACAAGCTACCTACCCTCCAGCTGCCTCGATGGTCCGGCCACCAGGCATGTCTCGGCGCCCCTCGGCCCACATCAGCAGCATGAGGCAGGCCTCCACCCAGGTGCCACGGCCTCTGCCCCACACCCAGAGAGTGGGTGAGTGTGGGCAGAGCTAGGAGGAGTGGGTGGGGGGCAAGGGCTGGGATTGGCCTTGCTGGGGAGTCAGAAACATCCAAGGTGTTGACCTTGCCATATACCCTTTTTGTGAGCAAGGCTGAATTTGGATACTGTTTGTGGCTTATAGCTTGGCTTCCAGTTCCTAGGACCAACTCACCCTGCAGCCCTCGCTAATTACTGTTAACTGATTACCTAATCCCTAAAATAGGGATAAAAATATAATACCCCCATTTTCTTGTAAAGTACATGCAGGGCTTAGTATTGGACCTGAATCTCAGTGGAAGATAGTTCAGCAGCTGTGACCAAGGGTTTGTAGATTCTGGCTACAAGGCAAGCACATCTGTTCCTTCAGCAAATGTTCTCCTGTCTGCCTTGTACAGCTCCGGGGATTCTGCATGAAAGAGACATTCAATCCCTGGCCTTAGGTGGCTGCCAGGCCCTGATGCTCCCGTTCTATTTTTTTTCTCTTTCCCTTTTTTGATTGTGGTAAAATACACATAACATAAAATTTACCACTTAACCATTTTTAAATGGATAGGTCAATGGTGTTCAGTACCTTTACACTATTGTGCAACCAGCCCCACCTTTCGTCTCTGCAACTCCATGAATTTTGCAAAACTGGAATTCTATACTCGTTAAACCCTAACTCCTCCTTCCCCCTCTCCTCGCCCCAGGCAGCCATCAGTTTACTTGGTATCTCTGTGAATTTGACCCTTCTAGGTACCTCATATAAGTATTCGCCCTTTGGTGACTAAATGTCACTTAGCTTGTCTCAGGATATACCTGTGTGATAGCACATGTCAGAATCTCCTTCCTTTTATGGATGAATAATATTCCACTGTATGTGTTTACCACATTTTGTTTATCCAGTCATCTGTCAGCGGACACCTGGGCTGCTTCCACCTGTTCGGGATTGTGAATAGTGCTACTATAAAACATGGTATATAGATAGCTCCTTGAGATCCTGTTTTTAATCCTTTTGGGTATATACCCAGAAGCAAAACTGATGAATGATATGGTAATTCTATTTATCCCCACCAACAGTGCACAAGTGTTTCGGTTTCTTTTCATTTTTTTGAGACAGGGTCTCCCTCTGTCACCCCCAGATAGAATACAATGGCATCATCATAGCTTATTGCAACCTCAAACTCCTGGGCTCAAGTGATCTTCCTGCCCCTCCTGCCTCAGCCTCCCTAAGTAGCTGGAACTATAAGCTAGTGCCACCATGCCTGGCTAATTTTATTTGTAGAGATGGGATCGCACTGTGTTGCTCAGGCTGGTCTCAAACTAATGGCATTAAGCTGTCTTCCTGACCTGGCCTCCCAGAGTGCTAGGATTATAGGTGTGAGCTGCTGCACCCATTTCTTTGCATTTTTGCCAATACTTGTTATTTTCTATTTTGCCCCTCTCTCTTTTTTTTTTGATAGTAGCTATTTGAACCTTGCTTAATTTTTTTTTTTTTTACAGCCAACATTGGTACCCAGACCACAGGATCCAGTGGGACAGGATGCTGTATGCCAGGTCGGCCCCTCCTGCCATACAAATCAACACACAACACCCATCGGGTAAGCCTGGCCCAGCTGCCTTCCTAGTCTGGGCTCCAGAAGGCCCTGCTCAGAACCTTGGCTAAGGTGTTGTGACTTTTTTTTTTTTCCTTTTCTTGACTTATAAAGTTTCATTATTAATGCGTGTAATCCATAAGAGATCACCCTTACTGACAGAAGGGGAAAGAGGGCCAGCGTCATGTTTTGTTAATCAATTACAATTTGCTTTGCCAAAGTTGGTACCAAAATTAATTTGGATTTCCTTAGTATTTGTATTGAGCAGCCAGGATAGGGATTCTAAGACTATGCTGAGCACTGAAGGGGTAAGATTAACACTCAAAACCTAACTGAAAATTGTATAATTAAATGAAAGGCTGTGTATTTATCTCCCTGCCCAAGAAAACGTCTCAAGTTCAGAGTTATCACATCCTATCTAGAAGTGAGATGTGTCTAGTTTGAACTTTTTCTTGTAGGATGAACAAGAATAGTCTTCAAACAGCAACAACATTTTTAGAGTTAAGGTGTGCAAGGGTCGGAGAGTGCTGGGGATGTGTCCATAAAGCCACTTGATAAAAAGATCTTTATTTGGCACAAAGTGATTTGTAATGCTTGGCTTTCATTTGGCAGTGTCCATCCTGGGGCTTTATACTCAGAGGGGTGTCCAACCTGCGGCCCATGGGCTGCATGCTGACTTTGTGAGGATTTTTTTTACTTATCTGCAGTGTCAGATATCACAAAAAAATATACACGGACCTTTTTTTGCTAATCAGCTTTTGTCTATTTAATGTAGCCCAAGGCAACTCTCATTTTTCCAATATGCAGCTGAAGGATAAAAAAAAGGGTTGGACACATCCTTTCCAAGTTCAGCGCCACAGAGAATTTCCACGTTAGAGCATAATTCTATCTCCTAAACCACTGTGCCCTTTTTAGGGACCCTCTGCCCCACCTGATCATCCAGATCTTGTCCCTGCGCCACTCTTCCAGAGTCTTCTGGCCTCATGTTTATGTGATAGGGTAAGGCGTCTAGGCCTTGCCAGTTCATGGTGGTTAAGGGCTGTCTCTGCCATGGTGCAGGTCCAGGAGCCTGCGGTGCATGTCCCTGGACAGGAGCCCCTGACCGTGTCCATGCTGGCTGCAGCACCCCTGCATGAGCAAAAGCAGATGATTGGTGAGTGGCTGTGTCTTCAACTCTAGAGCAAGATGAAGGTGGCAGGGAGCTGGCTTGCCTGTTGGCAAACACCCTGCCTGAAGATGTGAGGATGAGGTCCAGCTTTGTCCAACCTGCTGGCTGACCTTCCCCACACTGCCTCTACCCTTCAGGTCCCTTTTCTCTTGCTTTAAAACACTGGCCAGACTGGATGGTCCCAAAGTTCCTTCCAGCTCTGCTGTCACGTGACTTTGACTTAGAGTGGGAGACGCCCAGATGTGGGGAGATGAGAGCTTTGTCTTGGGTTTCTTTAGGGAACTGGCCTATAGGTGGGCGTACAGTTCCTCACACCTATTCCTGAATGGGAGGAAGATGGGGCCAAATTTCATCAGTCTACCAGGGCCTGCTGTGGAGAGGTGGGGATTGTGTGTGCACCGGGTAAGCGGTGTTATTCCCCACTAGACTCTGAATTCCTTGTGTAATTCATCTCCCTCCCTAGTGTCTATCACAGGCCCTGCTGAAAGATGCCACTAATGGCTGAACAAATGAGCAAGCCTGTTCCTGGCTGGCAGGTTCTGTGCTTTGTAGCCACCACTGAAGGCCTGCATTGCCGTCACCACATTATTTCCTCAGCTTAGTTAGGGTTTTGCCACTTTATACTCTACAGAAATGTTTTATATGAGCTTGATGGAGGTAGAAGGCTTTGTTAGCAGTACCCTGTACACATCTTCAGTTTTCTTCAGGAAAACCACTTCCTTCCACAGCCCTCTTGAGTTACCTTATCCTGGCTGGGCCCTCCACCCATTGCTGAGATGGGCTGGCCACCATACTAGACCTTGTCACTGTAAATACCTAAAGGCGGAAGGTGAATTTATCCTATATCCTCGCCACCCTGCCCCCAAGAGTATCAAGTTCAACATTATCACATCCTGTCTAAAATTTTATCATGTATACCACTTCAAACTATTTCTCGCAAAATCAACATTAGTTTTTTAAACGGAAACCAACTTTGTGTTAAAACTCATCCTGCACATCTATCAGACTTGATTCTTAAATTGTCTTCCAAGGCGGGATTTGCTGTGCCAACCTTGTGTTTGGGAAGAGGCGCCTAGTAAGGTTAAGTGTCACAGCTGGGCAGGGCCAGTTCCAGGACAAGAACCCGTATCTCCTCCCTGTTCCACTCTGTGGTACCACCCCTGGGCTGCTAGGGTGTGAGACAGGTGTGTGCACAAGCCATTGGAGGGTGTTCTACACAGGGGAGCGCCTCTACCCCCTTATTCGTGAGGTCCAGAGCCAGCTGGCTGGCAAGATCACGGGCATGCTGCTGGAGATTGACAACTCGGAGCTGTTGCTCATGCTGGAGTCTCCGGAGTCCCTGCATGCCAAGGTAGGCCGGAGGCTGGGGAGCAGGCTGAGGACAGGGTCTCCCAGTGGAGTTTGTGTCCAGTGGTTTGTCTTCTTACTGGAAAGTGAAGGCTCACTGAGTCTTGGAGTGGGAAAGGGACTTATTTGAGGGTTTGCTGCTTCAGCCCCTTGGCAGACTAGATCTGTGTAGCTCCAGAGGCAATGTTTTGTTACAAGGAGGTGTGTTCTGAGTCAGCATAGGGTAGGGTTTTTCCAGTTGTCCAGCAGTGAACCTGTCTCAAAGGTGACTGTGGGGTCTTGCAAGCGGCAGTGGGTGAGGGTTCTGCAGAGGTGCTGTGGATAAGGGGTGCTCCCTGGATCTAGCATGCAGTGGTGGGAAGGGGTCAAGGCTCTTCTGGGTCCTACTGGGACAATGCACTAAGCCCCTCCTACTTGTATCCCCCAGGTAGAAGAGGCAGTGGCTGTGCTGCAAGAGCATCAGGCCATGGAACAGTCAAAGGTGTCCATGCACTGAAACCAGGTAGGTGGGAGGGACAGTGACAGCAGCAGCTGGGCTGAAAGCTGTACAGAACTGGGCAGGAACTGACTGCTACACAGTCACTTAGACCCATGCTGTGTCACTGGCTTCCTCTGAAGTGTCAGGGAGTTTGGGGAAGCCAGAGAATCAAAGGAGATGGCTAACTGTGAGGCTGAAATGGGCATTGATGTGCAGAGTGAAAGAGGTGCTCTTACCAGGCCTCACACAGGCTTTCCATGGGTACTGCTTGCTCTGTTCTATTGGTCAGAAGGCCTGGTCTGGGCTACTTACCTTCTTCATCTGCCATACTTTCTAGAAATATTCATTTTACTCTTTCATCCCCAGAAAAGATTCCTCGCTCCCACGGCTGCGAAAGGAATAGTGTTTCCTGCTCTTGGCTCCCTGGCCCTGTGAGCTGTAACTTATTTCCCCAGTGGTCTGTCTCTGTATTTGATCCCTGTATGTAGAATGAAGCTTGGTCACCCCCCCTCAGCCTATTACTTTGCTTTGTGCATTAAAAGTGTTGCAAAATCTGTCTTGCCTCCCAAGAGGCCTTCTTATGTCTAAGGAAGGTGGGGACAGAACCAAGGGGTGACCTGAAGTGGGTAAAGCTTTGGCTGTAAGGAACAGAAACACAAAGGAGCACTGAAGTCCCCAGGGGGTGTGCACGAGAAACTGCCAGGAACCCAACCCTTTGGTGGTACAGAGTGTGACCAAATGGATACATCCTGCAATGCACCAAAGCTGCAGGTGCCCATGTCAGAGGCACAAGGTGTTTCCAGGCCCCTGGCTTGAGCAACCAGGCAGAGCAGGTGAACAACCAGTTGTTTCCAGGTGCCAGGCTGACTGACCAAGTGGCTGTGTAGCATAATTAAAGAAGAACCCTTGTAGAAATGCTTTAGAGTACGTTTCCAGGTCCTGCAGGGGATGTGGGGGATCCTCTCAGAAGAGTCCTTCAGGACAGTCCATGCCCCCACCCCAGAGATGTCCACTTCAGGTCTCTGCCCTCTCCTGTACCTGAGCTGCCAAATGACAGTGGGGAAGACCATGACCAGCAGACTAGTTCTGCTGAAAATTCACTAGCAACAGATTCAACAGAATTCTCAAAGTCACTCTTCCTGTTCTCCACAAACATTTCAAACTGTCTTGCCTCCTCTAGCCTTGAGCTCCCCCTCCCCCACTTCACCCCACCCCCTTGGCTGGCTGCTGCTGCTTGTCCTCTATGCAGATCTGACTACTGGCATCTCCTCCATGCCCTCTCCTTTTCTCACTCCCTTTTCTTCTCTGCTACCTAATTTACAAGCACATCTATGTTTATAGGAAATTTCTGTTCTTACTAGCAGATCAAGAGACATGCTTTCTAGAGCGTGAGAGGATGCTGTAAGCCAGCTGTGACTGGATGGCACCGGCAAACCTGTCCCAAGTCAGTCATGCCTGCTTAGCAGGTGGCAGCAAAGGGGCACAGCTCCCTGCTTTAAGACTGTCCCTTGACCATGCCCATGTTTGTCTAAAATCCACTTCTGCCTGGAGGTCAGTGACTGCTTATACCGAAACAGACTCAACCTTATGACTGCGCAGAGGCAATGTGCCTGACAGGTGAATGTTGCTTGAAGGGACAATCCAAACCCTTTGTTTACTCTATGGAATCATAAAACTTCAATAAGGAGGACACAGCCTTAGCTCTTCCCCATGCCACGTTTACTGAACCTGAATGGCCCTTTTGGTCCCACCCTGTCCTCCCACCTAGGGCCTCACAAACACTGGTTCTGTTCTGCACACGCTGCTCTCCCCTCCCCTCTTCACTAATCTCCCATTGTAGAACTCAATCCCCGCTTACTCCCTCCACATGAACGCTCCATTTTAGGCAGGTAAAATACCACTTGACTACTCACAGCACTTTGGTTAGCTGCAATTTACAATGCCCTGATTATCTGATTAATTTCTTACCTTCCCAGTGAACTATTAATCCTCTGGGAGCAGGACCTGTGTCTACTCACTGTGGTCTCCCTAGCACTATTCACAATGCCTGGCTCACACAGACATTTTAGTAAATCTGTTCACCAAATGGATGAATGCTCAATATGCAATACTTTTATTATTACTACTACAAAGTTCCAGGGGCAAAGGTGAAAAGGCACAAGTGAAAGTACAACAGACATTTCTGTAGAAGAAAGCCTTTTAATGCAATAGCTTAAACACACAAAATCAGTCAGTTCAAATTAACTTCAACATATTACAAAGAACTATGACGCCTAGAGAAGGCCACTGTTGGAGCAAAAAGGCAAGTCCTGCCCAAAAAGGAAGGACACTGACCTCAAGGGGGCCTCTTTCCCCATCCCACCTCCAGGACCAGCAGCCACAACCACTGGGCTTTTCAAACACCTTAGGCAGCTCCATGCAGAAGGCAGCAGCACAGAGTCAAGGACAGAGCCGGCCAAGGGTCAGGGCTCTGCCTACCCAACAAAGGAGGGCCTGAACAAAAGGCACTGGGGCTCAGACACAGGAGACTGTGCCAAGGACAGGGCAGGGACAGCAGCTGCACACAGGAGATTGCAGCCCTGGAGAACCAGCTCAACAGGCTGCCTTGGGTCAGGGTTTTCTAGCTTACCCCCGCGCCCACCCAGGAACTCAGGTGTTCAGTTAACTGCACTGAGGTGGGCTCTGGTGAAGCTACGAGAATAGCACTCAGTCTGGAGAACAATGGGGCAGCCACAAAGCCAAAAGCCTGGTGACAAGGACCTGTCTATATGAGACAGCGGACCCAGGGGCAGGACTTCAACTTCACGCTTCAGCTCTGGTAGGGACCTTTCTGATGGAACAACGTCTATGTTTGACTACATTGAGCTTAATTTGAACAGGCAAAGCCTCTTAAAGGGAGGGAAGCAATCGAGAGGCCAGGAGGGTGCTTCAGAGCTCACTCCGGGGCATGCTGGGTTTCAGGAGCGGGCACAGAGGCGGCGGCCCCTGGCTTCTCTGGGTAAGGTCAGGCAGAGGTTTCCTGCTGCCCTTTTGGGTTTTTAGTTTAGGTTCTGCTTCACTTCCTGCCGCAACTTCTGTGCAGGGCCATTCTTGGGCTCAATTTGTAGGAGGCTGCTGATGTCTGCAAAGCTGGATTTATAGTCCTAATAGAAAGGAGAAGAGTGTGGGGAAGGTGCCTGGACTGGGGGTTGGGGGGAGGACAGCTGGTGAGGCAACAAAGTGTTTTCAAACCCCAGCCTGTAGGCCTGCTCTGGGCTACCCTGGAGTCCCAAGATGCGAAAGAAAGTGGAGAGAACACCTTGCCTTGACTATATTCTGGAAGTACCACCGCTGGCATACATCTCTGTGGCTTATGCTGCTACATCTGGCCAGGATTTTTTTTACCTTGAGTGCCTTGTAGGCTTGAGCTCGCCTGTAGAACGCCTTCACATTCCTTGAATCCAGCTTGAGGGCTTCCGAGCAATCCTTCACTGCTTCCTTGTACTGCTTCAGGACCAAATAGCAGAGCGCTCTGATCAGGAGAGACCATTTCAGAAGCTTTAGTCACTTACGAGCTACTACCCAGCTGGGAGGTAGTCTGAGAAGTGGTCTTGCTAAACATCTACTGGGGTGCTGGTTACTTTGTATCTTCTTTGATCCTCACAATACCATTTTTGAGATGAAAAACCCTGGCTCAGAGGGGTAAAGGGACTTGCCAATACTGAGGGGTGATATGGGGTTTGAACTGAGGGGTTTCATACGACTCCAGATCCTGACCTCATTTAGTTCTATCACTCTGTACTTATCATTCTCCTGGATTGTGCTCTTTCTTTCTTTTTTTTGTAGTTTTTTGGCCGGGGCTGGGTTTGAACCCAGCACCTCTGGCATATGGGGCCAGCGCCCTACTCCTTTGAGCTATAGGCACTGCCTGATTGTGCTCTTTCAAGCAGAGGTTTTCTGAAGTCTTCCCCTTGACATATTTAAAAACTTAACTCCTTAAAAAAAAAAATACTGAACTCTGATATGATGCTGGCCAGATATAGTGACTCACACGTGTAATCCTTGCATTCTGGGAGGCTGCACCCGGAGGATCCCTTGAGGTTAAGAGTTTAAGACCAGCTTGACTAAGAGCAAGGCCCTGTCTCTAAAATTAGCCAGGCATGGCAGCAGGTGCCTGTAGTCCCAGCTACTTGGGAGGCTGAGGCAGGGGGATCACTTGTGCCCAGGAGCATGAGGTTATAGTGGATATAGCTATGATGACATCACTACACTCTATCCTGGGCAACAAAGCAATACCCAGTCTCAAAAAAAAAAAAAATCCAAAAATAAAAAAAAAAATGTGATAGATTAGGGATAAAATGCAAAAATATTTGCAATTGTCTTTGAAATACATCAATCAACAGATGGCTAAATAGTGATAAAAGTAAATACCGCAGAACCCCTGTAAAGTGACCACCCAAGGGACTGTAACAAACTGGCCAACATATGGAGGTGATCAACATAAGGAACTGAGCACATGTGGTGCATATCCTTTGAAAATTAGGTCAACTTAAGGAGGTGGTCAACTATGGAGGTTCTTCTGTATACCAAAATATTATTCATAATTGTAGAACTTATGAAACTAGGTATTAATATATAGGTATTCAATGTACAGTTCGTTCAACTTCACTTTGAAAATTTTCATAATAAAATGTTGAAAAAAATAGTCATGTACATCCATACTACAAAATATTCTGCATCTGTGGGAGGAAAAAGCACGTGTGGGTGTATCTTCTTCATTCAAGTCTAATCATTCTCTCCAAAGACAGTCACTAAAATCAAAACAAGTCAGATGTTTGGGAGCTCATTACATAAGTTCATCTATTCCACTTCAACATTCTCAGTAGGTGTAGGGTATTCACTAAGTTGGATGTGTCATGATTTATTTTATTAATTTCCTATTGGGGGGTATTTTTCATTGCTTCTAGTTTGTAAATAAATGATGCTGCATGAATGTCCTTGTGTAAGTGACTGCTGGGTCAAAAGACATGCATTTAAAATTTTGACTATAATAATTGCACTCTAAAAAATAGTTATTGGTCAGCATGGTGGCTTAGCACTCAAAGAGGCTGAGGCAGGAGGAGTGCTTGAGTTCAGGAGTTTGAGACCAGTCTAAGCAAGAGTCAGACTCCGTCTCAACTAAAAATAGAAAAATTAGCCAGGCAACATGGTGTGCACCTGTAGTCTCAGCTACTTGGGAGGCTGAGGCAGACGGCTCACGTAAGCCCAGAATGACATGGCTGTACTCTACTCAGGTGAAAAAGTTAAGACTCTGTCTCAAAACCCAAACCAAACCAAACCAAAAAAACCCCTAAAATCAAAACAAAAACAGAGCCTATTTTCCTACAGTTGTACCAACTTGGGTCTCAAGCTTTAATTTCTACCAATATGGAATCTCATTGTTTTAATTTAGTTGCTTTAAATATGGGTAAAGCTGAACATCTTTACATAAGATTTTTTAAATGTATAGAATCAAATTTCCACAACTTTAATGACTTCTGTGAATTACTTTCTTCCACATAATACTTTCCCTTTTGC